CCCCAAAACCCCAAAACCCCAAAACCCCTTTAAATCTTTTGAATTTGTGATATTTTCTACAGTAAAATGTTCAAGAATGTGTACTCAAAAGTACCTAAAAGTGCCTCTGTGTGGCTAGTCAAGGAAACATCCTTGAAAAATGGGTTTGACTATACAATCGGGTTCTTTAAAAGGAACCAGAACACTTCTTTTGGAGGGTTTTGGGCCCAGCCAGGAGGAATTGTTGATGAACAAGATCATTATGATGCTTGGGAAGAAGTCTACCCGAAATATACAAAGTCTTTTGGACACTTTCATGATTTTACATTAAGAATGTGCTGTCTCAGAGAGCTTTACGAGGAATGATCAATCTTGCCTGCTTATAAGAATGAAGATTTTTCGATAATCACTGGAGAAGAGTTAGAAAAATCTGAGTATGATACAGATCAGTTTCATCTATTCTGTAAGGATAGAGAGATTTATCCAGCTATTGATAGGCTATCAGCTTTTAAAAGAATTTCTCCACCTCTCTCACTAACTCAGAAAAGAGTGGATACTCAGATGTATTTCTATTTCCTATCAGAGGATGAAGAAAAACATATAAAACTAAATGAGTCTGAACTGACTGCTCACAAATTTGTTTCACCCAAGGAAGCTTTTGAGTCATTATCAATGTTTCCTCCTCAGCAGATTTGTACGATAAACTTATCTCAGTTCTGATCTTTCTCCTCTTTAAAAGAGTTTGCTAGCGACTCTGATAAGCACTTGATTTCCTATTGTGAATTTAGGGCAAATCTGTTCCAAAATAATGCAAAGTTAATCACAGAGGGATCGAAGTTAAAGTCTTTAGACGATTATTACCCTCTCGTGTTCAATAAATACGATCTTCTCGGCGACCAAACCAGGAAGGATGAACATGGGTTACGGATTCTCACTGAGAACGAGAACATGAAAGACTGCTTCACCCAGGTTGAAATTAAAGCTGGAGACCTAGAAACTTATGCAGATATATTTACAAAGCTGAAATCTAACGTGATCTTTGTATTTCCAGGAGATTATTTTCACACAAACGAATCGTATCCCTGGAAGACCCACAGGTACTCTCGTCATAGGATTTATAAAGGTAAGGGAAAAGATACCAGGTATGAGATCACCCAAGACGTATGGGATATCTTCAGTAAAAAGCCAAAAGATGGTCTTGGTTTCATTTCCTCGATATAATCTACATTGCCTTAAATACGTCAATATTAGCCTAGATTTGGGGTTTTGGGGTTTTGGGGTTTTGGGG